CCCCAAAACCCCAAAACCCCAAAACCCCAAAACCCCAAAAGATTATTAAGATATTGAAAACTTTATTCTGAGTGGGAAAACTAGGGAAGATTAGTGGCCAGCGATGAATGTGCAGATGATGATGGTGAGGATGACTGAGATTGTGAGGTGGAGGGTTAGATTGGGGGTGGAGAATTCGTCATCTGAGATGTCATCCAGATCGAGGTTGAGGTTTGGGAGTGGGCTGGTGGGGGTTTTGGGGCTTGGAGAGGCTGGAATTGGAGGGTTTAGAGGAAGACAGGGGCTTGGAGAAGGGCTTTGAGGGGAGAAGTGGATGGGTGAGGGAGATATGGGGTTTTGAGCTGGTTCGGAATTGATTGGTTCTTCTTGGTCAAGATCTATCACTATTTTTGGTAGATGTCTCTTTTTCTCTGTTTTAAAGATAGGAACAAATTTCTCAAACTTTCGAGGTACTTCATCATCTAAATCCAAAGCAGGTTCCTCTTCTACACTAGGTATCGGTTCTTTCACCTTCTCTCTCTTCTCCCCTTCACTATCATCCCTCTTCTCCACCCCCTCCTCAACCACCTCTTCAACCACAGCACCATCCGCATTCACTTCTTCACTCACCACCTTACTATCCACCTCACTGACAACCTCAGCTACCACCTCTACCTCCTCTTCATCCTTCTTCTGTTCCTTCCTGACTCTCTTCTTGGTTCTCTCCGTTCTCTTCTCATCATTCTGCGCCTCCTCCTTCTTCTTGCTTGTGTGGGCTTGGAGTCTAGATTTAGGTCAGGTTTTAAAAGCTAGAGTAGGACTTTTGGGGGTTAATTGAAGTGGAAAGGAATAAAGTGATTTGTTATTGGCCGAAGAAGGCGAACTCAAGTGGAGTGGAGATTGGTATCTCTTGGAGGATATGTGATGTGATAGAAGAAGTAATCAGGGTTTTGGAGAATTTACCGTTTAGATTTCTTGTGCTTCTTCTTGTGTATCTTCTTTTTGTGTTGGGTTTTTTCTGCTAAAGATTGGATTAGGAGTTGTTGGGATAGGTAGTGGGGAATGAGGACTGGTTGTTAAGAATATGCAACTTGAAAAGATATCACTTTGGCAGATAGAAAGGATATCGTTGGGAACTTGAAAGAATAAAGGTGATAAAGATCTTTCTGGTGAATAGAAGTTCAATTTTGTATTATTTAAAATAAAACTCTTTGTTTCCTCTATCTTAACTTATTCCTACAAACTCACTCAAAACCCAATCTCATAACCCCAACCTACCCTAATCTCCCCTTCTAAACCCTCAAAACCCCTCCAAAAGCCCCCTATCCCTCTCCATCACCTCCTTTCCACCCTCCCATTTCTCCTACCTTTCTCCTTCCTCTTCTTCTTCCCACTCCTCTTCCTCTTCCTTGTTTTCTCCTTCTTCATCCCCTTCTCTACACCAATCACCACATTCACCCTACCGTCACCGATACACTGGACTACAACAATCTGGTCTTCCTTGTTCATCAGGTTTTGGTAATTTATTTATTTTAAGTTTATTTTTTGGACTTGGGGTTTTGGGGTTTTGGGGTTTTGGGG